TCAACAATATCTACTTGATAATCAAATCTCAACTTTTGTGTTTCGTTTTGCAAGAAAGCTGAGCCGCCTCTAATTGACGGCCACTATTATGAACTTACCTGGTTATGGTACCTCTAGTACCATAACCAGTGTGGCGTTAAAACGGAAGCCGTTCTCAAGCTTAAAAGGTAAATTCTTAAAATAGTTTCTGTCCCTGATGATAAATAAGATACATCTAAACCAATACTGTATGCATGACAATGGTACCAAATACTAACAGTTTCACTTTTTCCTCAGCACGTACAGATTGGAAAATTAATAATCTTAAATAATAAGCATTATTTAATTGACTCAAAACAGCATAATGATACAAAACATTTTACTTTTCCATGCAATAAATGTTTAACATTCGTTCAGGTAAGAATATTCCATAGTAACTATATCATTATTTACAACTCCAGTGATTAATTGGCACTAATTGCAATTATCTATTTCATTATTGTCTTTGAACGGGGATAAATCATTAAGTCGCTAAGTTTTTTAACCTTGTCTTTATGAACTCAATAGCTCTAGTTAGGTGTACGTCAAACCACTGCAAATAGAGGGGCGACAGAATCCGCTTATTTCCATATTATTAACCTATCATGTATATTGATTGCGGGCATTTATATTGAATGATCATTATACCATAACCAGATGTTAGGTATGAATAGAATTCCTGAGATAAGAATCTTCAAGACCCAATAACGATATTTATAATATTAATAATTAACATGCTATGGTGGTCAGGGATGGGTGTCGTAACCGAAGCAACATCAGAATGGCAACTTCAGAATGGCAACTTCAGAATGGCAACTGTATTGTTAAGATCTACTTCTTAAAGTTCCATTAACAGCAATCTCATAGCCATTTTTTACCATTCATAGGACAGGTTGACATATTACTTCATATATTACATAGATGCACATATAATGTTTTTCCTTTGATCTTGGTCTCTAAGATGGTGTTTTTTTAAATATACATAAGAACGCAATTTTTGCCGTCGGAAATCTCTTTATTGAGGACACGGCCATTATAGCTGGGGCAATGACATTACACAAGCCGGGGGAGGGGGGGGGGGGGAGGGGGGGGGCATAAAACATGTGCCCATTAACAACAGATCAATCTTCGGTCGTCCCTAATATCACGTCTGGGAATAAAGTACAGCTTGCAGTATAAAGTAACACACAAATCCCAGAGATGCATTCCAGCTTTCCAACTACTACTACTACTACTTTCAAACTTTCTACCCAAATTAGTGTTCACACCTTGTTGGCTCAATGTTTTTATGAATAATACCAAAATTTCCACTTTGGTCCCGGCAACAAGGGTTCACTTAATCTGCTAAAAAAATATTGTTTTAAGCCATAAATATGTATATTGTGTAGCACTATACTACACAATATACATATTCCTATCCAGATATTACACATTTTAAATTATTAAGGAGATCGCAAACATTCAATTTTAGGAATTCCAAGAATTTCAGTTCGGTGAACGAAAATTGTATATCTGTTCAGACTCAGTGAAAAATGTTCTGGTTCGTTCCCTTATTCCATATCTATTGTTCCAGAAACAATGCTGCTCTGATTTAAACTCGATAGATAGTAAGTACTCTCCCTAATTCAGATAACAGAAGTATCATCTTCTCCTGTTAACTGCAGAGGTATTGAGTTACACATATATACCTAGTATTCGTTCTAATATATTCATATTACAGATAAAATCTGTTAATATAAGGCGTGAGCCAGAAAGTCTAACCAAACAACCAAATTCTAAATCGAATCAAAACTGTAATTAAATCCATTTAAAAGAACCCCAAGTTGGTAAAGACCCAAATTTGTTTAATATGGCCCAGTTGGATTCATCTACACTATAACTTCAGGCCGTGGAACCTTATGTTTGCTATTAGATACACAATACACAATACACAGGACAGTATAAGTATGTGTTGAGTTTGTAATATGACTCTATCACAAAAGTAGACAACATGCGTCAAATGGTTAGCATTTTTCTGGAAAACATGTTTCTGGCAAACATGTTTCTTGCACTGTGTTTCTTGCACTGTGTTTCTTGCACTGTGTTTCTTGCACTGTGTTTCTTGTACTGTGTTTCTTGCACTGTGTTTCTTGCACTGTGTTTCTTGCACTGTGTTTCTTGCACTGTGTTTCTTGCACTGTGTTTCTTGCACTGTGTTTCTTGCACTGTGTTTCTTGCACTGTGTTTCTTGCACTGTGTTTCTTGCACTGTGTTTCTTGCACTGTGTTTCTTGCACTGTGTTTCTTGCACTGTGTTTCTTGCACTGTGTTTCTTGCACTGTGTTTCTTGCACTGTGTTTCTTGCACTGTGTTTCTTGCACTGTGTTTCTTGCACTGTGTTTCTTGCACTGTGTTTCTTGCACTGTGTTTCTTGCACTGTGTTTCTTGCACTGTGTTTCTTGCACTGTGTTTCTTGCACTGTGTTTCTTGCACTGTGTTTCTTGCACTGTGTTTCTTGCACTGTGTTTCTTGCACTGTGTTTCTTGCACTGTGTTTCAGCCATGGTCAGAAATGCTCCGTCAAAGTTGTCATCTCACGTTTAGGAAGACTATTTAATTCTAAGCCTAAAAATGCCGAGCGAAATGCTAAATTCATGGAAAATTTATTAGGCTCCACATAATTGTCTTGTTGAGTTGAATTGAGTCCTAATATGAATCGGAAATGTTCAAAGACGTCTTTTAAATTAAAGCCTTTTTGTTTTGCAGACTGAAAAAATTCTAGAAAATGACAAATTCTAGAAACATTTCATTGGACCGGGACCAAAGTTTGTTAAATTGTTTCATTTGAGAGCAACAACAGTCTGACACCAAAAGGACAACTTTAGATTGCATTAGGATCGTCTTCATGAGTGATTCTGATTAGACCAGGACTCTAAGTCCGTGCCCCATTGATCTCAAATTGGTTTCATTCGATCATAGCTGGTTTTCTGATGCAATTTCGAATCTTCTTTATTTTGCTGGACCTCATATATAATTTCTTAAGTTCCATGTCTCTATGCCAACTCCACAAAAAGCGCACCAAATAGCCTTGGTTAATTCAAGTTCCCGAGCACGTGCTTCTGCTCCTAACACACGTTGTGGCTTATAACCTGATTAAGGAGTCAGTCGTATAGTGAGAGATTGAGTGGGAGTGTGATTATGCAGCGATTTACGACGTCACGTGGTGTTTTATCAGGTTATAATCCCTCGTCATTTTGAGGTTTCAGTTATCAGGTGTTCGACGTAATCAATGAATTTCTAAATAAGAAATCATGTTGAGCAGCTGCAGTCATTCGTTCAGTTAGAGATTGACTTTGTTCGGTACTAAAAATACTCACAGATCTGTGAAATAGTTGACTTCAGAGGTTGTGATCACGTAAGCAACACGTTTGGCTTTAAATAACTGTCCTCTAGTCGTGCAATTCGGAAAGGTATCGGTTTGCTGCTATTTTCGCATATTTGATGCTCAATTAGAAAGGCTATGGAAATTTTTCACTGTTTAGGTTTCACATTTTCGTTTTTACACATGTTTCCACTTTCCGTTATGAGAAAGTTCTGGGTATTTTTAGTCCAGCCGGTATCAGTATCAAGTTTTTTACTGTCCTTCCTATACTGTCCTTCCTACCTTCCTATACTTTCAACATCATATCACACTTCACCCGCACACCTTCTCACACATTAATGACCATATCAGACCTGTATCTAATGTATCTGGAATTTGACGTATTGAAATACCAATTTTGACTACCTTACTCGGGATTATTACGACGGGTTTATTAACGACCGGTTAAAATATGGTTCGGGAAAAATATGGCGAAATTGCTCAAAACCCACCACATTTTCCCGGTCGCCATTTTACCGTTGTCCAACCTTTCAATTTTAGATTCAAAAATTTTGTCTCAGATGTAAATTTCCTTATTAGAGATAAGCAAGTTTAGAAATTTTCGCATTGCTAAAACTTGTGAAACAAGTCGAATTATCAATAATTGTTGAAAGTAGACAGAAATAATGACTTTTCGCATATTTGATGCTTAATTATAGAAAGGCCAGGTGAAGCAGACCAAAATGGCTATTTTTCACTGCTAACATTTCACATTTACGTTTTTAGACATGTTAATTCCACTTTCCGTTATGAGAAAGTTCTGGGTTTTTTAGTCCAGCCGGTATCAGTATCAAGTTTTTTACTGTTTGAATTTTGATTCACAAATTTCTAAATTTACCGATTTTTTGTCCATTCGGGACAAATTGTTTAGAAGAAGACAATTTTCAGTGCAGGACCTATTGAGGACGTTTTATATAGGCTTCATTCACCCTTGTCTGACTCAGTTGCTACAACTTTTCGTCACAATATGTCAATACGTATGAAATTTGTGCACTAAGTTTCAAGTCGCTTATATCACTTCTTGTTTCATCACAAATTGCTGTTCGCATGAGTGATTTTCTATCGCGCGAACTGAAAATCCGTCAATTTATTGTGCTCGTCGTTTTACCAGGCAGTTTCCTCGGTAGATAGAGATAGTTCAGAATACATTCTACCGACATGAGCTCAAGTGCCAGGCGTCTCAAGATAAACGCGATAAAATTCACCAGTATTCTATTTTAAAAAGCACATATTTTTATTATATAACTATTTATACATGTCACTGAGAAACAACGCCCGTAACCACATATAATTGTTAAATATAGTAGAGAATGGGCCTCCTCAATAATTCAATAACAATTATAATTAACATGGTCCTGCCATAAGACCATAGCTTTCCTATTTTAATTATGTCCACTTAAGTTGTAAAAGGTAAAAGAGTGCAGTATATTTCATACTATATATATTATTATATTCAGTTGCAGGATGAAGCTCATAACGGTTGAATATGTGATTAAAATGTCGAATATTGTATATACTTGCCGCGTCAAACTGTTAAAGTGATATTCTTATACAGCTGTTATATAGCTATTCGTACGTGCACTTGATCATCTTATATGTGTTTTGTTTCCGTCTTATACTAGTTATACTATTTGAAATATAAAACGACGAGATTATGAAAGATTTTAGATTAATTGGCCACGGTTTCCAAAAGTTGATGACGGTGATTAAAAATAAAATCAACGACGCTGTGCAGTTAAGGGAAACAGGCACCAGCTCCAAATCTGATCTTTGTAAGTCGATGTACTTTCCAAATTTGTCCGTTTACCTCTATTATTATAATCTTATCTTTAATATTTTAAATTGATTGTCTATTTTCGAGAAAATTACTAATTAAGATTATCAATCCCTCGCCGCCCTCATGTAACATGGGCAATTTACCAAAATATTTGCGGTATGGCCTGATGCCTTCGTATAAAGCATTCTCCATTCTTTTAATATAATATTAACAATGATCCTGCCTGCATGACAATATGATATGCACGCACACTATTGTAGTATTGTGCCTACCAGGTTCTGGAAATTTTTTCATACTTGGCTTAGCGGCGATTTCGAATTAAGCAATTCCAACTTTAAAGACCCGCAGCCTTTAACTTTAAATAAAGTACGAGGCGAAGTAGTAGTACGAGGGACAAAGTAAACGGGCGGACAAAGTAAACGGGCGGACAAAGTAAACGGGCAGACAAAGTAAACGGGCAGACAAAGTATACGGGCGGACAAAGTAAACGGGCAGACAAAGTAAACGGGCGGACAAAGTAAACGGGCGGACAAAAACTGAGCAACAACCAATCAGCATCAACTCAATAACTGGGTGATTTCGAAAATATTCAAACAGATAATAATGGATTCAAAAAAAATTAAATCCTTTTAATCCAGACTATCAGGCTCGAGTTTCCTGTTTCACGAACAATCCCATCCGATCAACTATGAATTAGTACAATAATAAAATAATAGTGCACACTGTTAACTGTGTACACTGTCAACTGTGCACACTGTCAACTGTGCACACTGTCAACTGTGCACACTGTCAACTGTGCACACTGTCAACTGTGCACACTGTCAACTGTGCACACTGTCAACAGTGTGCACACTGTCAACTGTGCAGACTTAAATCATTACTTTTATTGGTACTTTCTTATTTGTTTCGACTATAGTTTTTTGTTTACTTCCAACAAATTGGTTGAATCTTGGAACAGCATGAAATATTCCCCATCAATTTCGTAATCTAAGACAAATGTCTTATCTTTATAGGGAGTTGATCAATATTTTGGCGGTTGATTAAGTTATGTTTAAAAAAGAATATAAAAGTTTGAAAACTATTCGAGTAACAAGGTTGAGTGGTGCCCATGTGAATACGCTGAGCAGAATAAGAAGTTTAGGTGTGTCTCATGGGTCAGATCCAAACCAGACCAATAAACACACGCTGTCCTCAGACAAGATGGAGGAAAAGGCAGACGCAGGAACGCGAAAGAAAATGTTCGGGTTAACAATAGGACTGATAGTAACAGGGCTGGTTGCAGTGGTGCTGCTGGGGGTGCTAATTTGGGCTGTTAACAGCAAGGTAAGTGAGAGCATGAGAAACATACTGACTGTGCAAATGTAAATAGTTTATACTATTTGCGGGAACATTCTAACATTGCTAAGGCTCAATGAGAACCGCTTTGCAAAATTCCTTTACAAATATCCTTGTGGGTTGTCGACATGTTAAAATGCACAATTTCCAGGATAAATGCCGATGCTCCCCCGAATAAATTGTATTGCAGTGTCCTAAGTAACTTTAGTAACTTTAAAGTAACCTAAGTAACTTTAAAGTAACTTTACTAAGTTACTAAGTAACTTTAAAGTAACCTAAGTAACTTCAAACACGCTGTCTCCCAGAAAGGACTGGTTTCACCCCCGGACCAAGGATTTGTCAGAGCTTCAGCAGCTATGGGCAGCAATATGGACGCTACCGCTGACCCCTGTTCTGACTTCGCTACATACGCTTGTGGCGGCTGGATGAAAAAGCACGTTATCCCGGATGACATGTAAGTTTAGTAATTCTAACGTCTTAATCATTGATCCATCTCCTAATTTATGATTATGGTGATAATACCATTTCTAACTGAAATACCATTTCGAAATCAAATCTGCATAAAACAGTTAGTAACTATTAGTAACTGATTAGTAAATGTTAGTAACTGATTAATAACTGACTAGTAACTGATTAGTAACTGATCAGTAACTGATTAGTAAATGTTAGTAACTATTAGTAACTGATTAGTAACTGTTTAGTAACTGATTAGTAACTGATTAGTAACTGATTAGTAACTGTTTAGTAACTGATTAGTAACTGATTAGTAACTGATCAGTAACTGATTTTTAACTGTTAGTAACTGATTAGTAACTGTTTAGTAACTGACTAGTAACTGATTAGTAACTGATTAGTAACTGATTAGTAAATGTTAGTAACTGATTAGCGACTGATTAGTAACTGATTTTTAACTGTTAGTAACTGATTAGTAACTGTTTAGTAACTGATTAGTAACTGTTTAGTAACTGGTCAGTAACTGATTAGTAACTGATTAGTAACTGATTAGTAACTGTTAGTAACTGATGATGAAACTTTCTTTAAGGGACCAGTGGTCAAACTTTGTCATCTTACGGGACGAAACTGCAGTTACTCTACTAAATCTTGTTACTGCTTTATTAGACGAAACAATTGATGACGCTAATCCTAGACCAGACTATGAGAAGAAGGTCTGCATCTTCAATATAGTTTAGATTTTAAATGTTTTTGTTTTTCAGTCACTGCATAGCAGTAATATACTGCCATGCAAGGCCAGTACAGTTCCGACATCATTTCTAACTTTGTTAAATGAAAACATAATATAATAGAGCCGTGAGCCGGCTAGCCGACGGCAATCGGCTGGCTAAGAGAAAAAATCGGCTGGCTAGCCGGCTAAGCCGGCTAAAACTGGGAATGGGATTACCAGATCCTAATATCAGATATTGTACCAAACATTTTTATTTTGCTAATATTACTATTTAATGTATTAAAATTGATTGGCTTATTATATACTTTATGTTTCTTTATACTTTATGTCGATTTTAAGGGCAAAACTTGAAATGGAAGGTAACAAGTGATACAATTTCATAACTTCAATAATAATAAGTTAGTCAATAATAAGGGGTCGTTCACATATTACGTAATCAGCCGAGGGGGGAGGGGGGTTTCCAAATGCTTACGGTTGATTACGGGGGGGGGGGGGGGGGTTTGGTCGTTGATTGCGTAATCAACATTTTCTTTTTTACCCTCTAGAATAATAACAATTTGATATTTTAATTCAAATTCCACTCAATTTCACTCTGATAGTGATAAAATTTAGAAATTGATCGAATATCCGGCTATAATAGTAAGTAGTTTAGAAGTTGCTTGGCCGGATATCATAACAATGATTTCGGCTCATCATGATAGCATGATCAGGGTAGCATGAAACGTAGAGAAAAGTGTTTTCTAGGAAAAAAGTCAAGGGGGGGAGGGGGGGGTCAGGCCATGATTACGTAATATTGCTGTCAGGAGGGGGGGGGGGGGGTTGGGGCTTGATTACGGTTGATTACGGAAGGGGGGAGGGGGGTAAAAATTGCTAAAATATTGATTACGTAATATGTGAACGACCCCTAAGTTAGGAAATTCTCACTGGTCAGAGTCAATCTCTAATTTACTTATAAAACTTAACAAAAGATCTCTGTTACGATTAATGAGCAAAATGGCTTTTAAATTGTCTGATGAGATCTTTGATCTCCTCTTGTTTACAGTCAGCCCTGCTGCTGACCATGTTCTTTCCACATCAGCAGCGGATGCAGGAACCGAAAATATAGCGCATGCTAATTTTGAAAGAAGGGGCAATGTATCACTACGACATTTCCAAATTCTAAGAGTGTCCATCTTGGACAGAAATTTTTAGGGCACTGCAAGGCCTCATATACTTTAATTTCGTCTTTAAGACGATCCGTCTGACGGTTCTGAAATTTATGAAATTTATCTCTAAAGTCGATCATGGTATAATTTGTTACATGCCGTCTAGATTCCCGGCCTGAAGTAGAGATAAGTGATAACTACTGAAAATGTGTTAGCCGATCGGCTAGCCGATGGCAATCGGCTGGCTAAGCCGGCAATTTTAATCGGCTGGCTAAGCCGGCTTAGCCGGCTAGCTCACGCCTCTATAATATAATCGTTAGTATGTACTTTTAAAACCGGTGTCGAATCAAAATTTTCATCAATTCTAGCCATATAATTAAATAAATATTATATAATTAAATAAATATTATATAATTAAATAAATATTATATAATTAAATAAATATTATATAATTAAATAAATATTTTATAATTAAATAAATATTATATAATTAAATTAATATTAAATAATTAAATAATTAAATAATTAAATAATTAAATAATTAAATAATTAAATAATTAAATAATTAAATAATTAAATAATTAAATAATTAAATAATTAAATAATTAAATAATTAAATAATTAAATAATTAAATAATTAAATAATTAAATAATTAAATAATTAAATAATTAAATAATTAAATAATTAAATAATTAAATAATTAAATAATTAAATAATTAAATAATTAAATAATTAAATAATTAAATAATTAAATAATTAAATAATTAAATAATTAAATAATTAAATAATTAAATAATTAAATAATTAAATAATTAAATAATTAAATAATTAAATAATTAAATAATTAAATAATTAAATAATTAAATAATTAAATAATTAAATAATTAAATAATTAAATAATTAAATAATTAAATAATTAAGTGATTAAATAATTAAATGATTAAATAATTAAATAATTAAATAATTAAGTGATTAAATAATTAAATGATTAAATAATTAAATAATTAAATAATTAAATAATTAAATAATTAAATAATTAAATAATCAAATAATTAAATAATTAAATAATTAAATAATTAAATAATCAAATAATTAAATAATCAAATAATTAAATAATTAAATAATTAAATAAATAACCGGTTCCCCAGATGCTGGATTTCTACACTAGCTGCTCCGACACTACAGAAATGGATAAGACTGAAACGGCTGACGAGTTACATGACAAAGTTCAAAAAATCATGACGGCGCCCAATATTCCACCAGTAATGGAAACAGCCGCATCGCAGGGTATCAACGTGTTCTATCTGCTATATGTGGAGCCAGATAACAATGACCCCAACATTAATTGTATATACGTAAGTTAAATTGAGTCAGATTGTAAAAATAGGTATAGATTGAACGAAATTAAACAGTGAATATAATTCCAATCACAAACGCTTGATTTTGGTCGACCAATGAATGCTTTCTCAATCGATCAATACTTTTCCCTTCTTACTTACTTGTACTAATGTACTAATGTACTAATGTACTAATGTACTAATGTACTAATGTACTAATGTACTTACTTACAAGAAATAACCCCGATTTACCGGAAACATCTCTAGATGGTGCAGGGAGCCCTAGGAATGACGCTTAAAGAAGAGTACAACAATGATGACCCAAAAGAGGATATCAAAGCGGTGAGTGTGACAACATAGTTGTTATAAAATCATTGTCAAACATATCCTGATCAGTCATCGAGCTTAATACATAATACTACAAGGTGACCAAGTGATAAGATATAAGAGTCCTTTTCATAACGTACAGACTCCAGTGGTTCAAACATTTAACTGTACTCCGTGATATTATAACCGCACTTAACCGCACTTAACCGCACTTAACCGCACTATGTAACACGTTCACTTTATCAAGCGCCTATTTCAGAAACAAGGCTATTATAAAGAATATCTCAAGAAGCTTTGGAAGAATTACGACTCAAATGCGTCAGATGGGGATTTGAATACTACAGTGAGCTTGATCTACGACTTCGAATCATGTGTTGCAGAGGTAAGAGATAAACATTATGTTGAAGATGAAGGTAGCGATGGGACACTTATATTTACACAATAGTTGTAACTATATATAGAAATATACGTGACAGTACTTACTAGCGGGTCTTAAAACGGCAATGAACTTAAAGTTCAGTAATATGCGTTAGCTACTCATGGCGTTAGCTACCAATGGCTTCCTTCGTCTATTATATGTAAAATATTACACGTCCCGTATTGGTGATAGAATTGAGTTGTTAACTAACCAGTAAATGAACTAGATATGAACTAACTAACCAGTAAATGAACTAGATATGAACTAACTAACCAGTAAATGAACTAGATATGAACTAACTAACCAGTAAATGAACTAGATATGAACTAACTAACCAGTAAATGAACTAGATATGAACTAGCTAACCAGTAAATGAACTAGATATGAACTAACTAACCAGTAAATGAACTAGATATGAACTAACTAACCAGTAAATGAACTAGATATGAACTAACTAACCAGTAAATGAACTAGATATGAACTAACTAACCAGTAAATGAACTAGATATGAACTAACTAACCAGTAAATGAACTAGATATGAACTAACTAACCAGTAAATGAACTAGATATGAACTAACTAACCAGTAAATGAACTAGATATGAACTAACTAACCAGTAAATGAACTAGATATGAACTAACTAACCAGTAAATGAACTAGATATGAACTAACTAACCAGTAAATGAACTAGATATGAACTAACTAACCAGTAAATGAACTAGATATGAACTAACTAACCAGTAAATGAACTAGATATGAACTAGCTAACCAGTAAATGAACTAGATATGAACTAACTAACCAGTAAATGAACTAGATATGAACTAACTAACCAGTAAATGAACTAGATATGAACTAACTAACCAGTAAATGAACTAGATATGAACTAACTAACCAGTAAATGAACTAGATATGAACTAACTAACCAGTAAATGAACTAGATATGAACTAACTAACCAGTAAATGAACTAGATATGAACTAACTAACCAGTAAATGAACTAGATATGAACTAACTAACCAGTAAATGAACTAGATATGAACTAACTAACCAGTAAATGAACTAGATATGAACTAACTAACCAGTAAATGAACTAGATATGAACTAACTAACCAGTAAATGAACTAGATATGAACTAACTAACCAGTAAATGAACTAGATATGAACTAACTAACCAGTAAATGAACTAGATATGAACTAACTAACCAGTAAATGAACTAGATATGAACTAACTAACCAGTAAATGAACTAGATATGAACTAACTAACCAGTAAATGAACTAGATATGAACTAACTAACCAGTAAATGAAATAGATATGAACTAACTAACCAGTAAATGAACTAGATATGAACTAACTAACCAGTAAATGAACTAGATATGAACTAACTAACCAGTAAATGAACTAGATATGAACTAACTAACCAGTAAATGAACTAGATATGAACTAACTAACCAGTAAATGAACTAGATATGAACTAACTAACCAGTAAATAAACTAGATATGAACTAACTAACCAGTAAATGAACTAGATATGAACTAACTAACCAGTAAATGAACTAGATATGAACTAACTAACCAGTAAATGAACTAGATATGAAGGGCAAGTTTCCATAACTAATTTTTTGTGATCAGCGGTAATAACCGCTTTTTTTACGCTAAAAAAGCGCTTATTGATAAAACCCACCGTTATTTGGCGATTATAAAGCGATTATAAACGGTCCCGTTAATAAACGGTTAAAAACGATTATAATCGCTTTTTCCATAAAATATTTTTGCAAAAGCGATTATTAGCGCTTTAAAAGCGATAATAAATCGCGAATTAAAATTATTAGTGATAAAAAAACGCTTTTATTTTAGGGTTGTCGATTATTACCGCTCCGTAAGCGCTTTTCAAAAAAACGCTTATAAACCGTTTTTTGGACCGTTTTTAAAACGCTTTTAATCGACTATAAGCGATTATATTCACTAGGGAAAGTTCCAAATTAAAAAGCGCCTACTAATCGTTAAAGAAACGCTTTTTTATTTTAAGTTAATAAGCGGTTTAAATCGATTATAAAACGATTATAAGCGACAATAAGCGATTTTTTGAAATCTGCTAAAAAGCGATATTTTCACTATGATCAGCGCTTATAACCGCTTTTCTTGAAATTTTCCTACTGAAAAGCGTTTATAAGCGCTTATTTATTTGCTGTCTATAAGCGATTATAAACGATTATAAGCGCTTTTTTACGTATTTGAAACGAGGAAAAAATTGTCAGGTACGAGATATTATAAGCGATTATAAGTGATTATAAAGTATCGTAAATGTTATTGTCTTCAATTGTCGCTTATAAGCGATTATAAACGATGAAAAGCGCTTTTTGACGCATTTTAAAACTATGATCAAAATATGTTTTGATTTGATTTATTTGGGGTATGTAAACGATTATGTAAGCGGGGTATATAAGCGATTATAAACGATTATGAGCGCTTAATTCTTTACGTATTTGGAACGAGGACACAATTAACAACAAAAATTACGCGATAGCCGGAGGTCCCCAGGTAACGTCTCCGTCTCCGTCTCCGTCTCCGTCTCCGTCTCCGTCTCCGTCTCCGTCTCCGTCTCCGTCTCCGTCTCCGTCTCCGTCTCCGTCTCCGTCTCCGTCTCCGTCTCCGTCTCCGTCTCCGTCTCCGTCTCCGTCTCCGTCTCCGTCTCCGTCTCCGTCTCCGTCTCCGTCTCCGTCTCCGTCTCCGTCTCCGTCTCCGTCTCCGTCTCCGTCTCCGTCTCCGTCCCCGTCCCCGTCCCCGTCCCCGTCCCCGTCCCCGTCCCCGTCTCCGTCCCCGTCTCCGTCTCCGTCTCCGTCTCCGTCTCCGTCTCCGTCTCCGTCTCCGTCTCCGTCTCCGTCTCCGTCTCCGTCTCCTTCTCCTTCTCCTTCTCCTTTTCCTTTTTGAATTCGATTGTTTAGGGCTAGGGCTCGGGTTAGGGTTGTGGTAAGGGTATCGGATAGCTTCGGGGTTATATATTATGGTCGTTAGGGTTGGGATTACGCAGGAGGAGCAAAGTGCAAAGAAACTGCCACAAACTGCTACAAACTGCTACTAACTGCTACAAACTGGCACTAACTGCCACAAACTGGCACTAACTGCTACAAACGGGCACTGACTGCTACAAACGGGCACTAACTGCTGCAATCGCGCCCACGCATTGCTCCTCCTGTGATTAGGGTTTATGTAAAACCGTTTTTTACGGCTGCAAAACTATAAAAACCTTGTACCCCCATTGTTGTTTCATTATACCCCTGTGGAGTTTCTACGATACAATTACAGGGGGAGCTGCGATTGTGCGCGTCGCGGCCGCGGGTCATACAACGTATGACAATAAAACCAAAGTCACATGAAATTTTTGGGCGAGCGAATTAGTAAAAGCCAGCTCAGCATTTTGCCGCAATCTACGTGGTTGCGAGAAGAATTATTTGATGCGCGGCGCAGCCCAGCAGTGCATCGCGCTACAAGTGATTGTTCTACTTTATTGTATCCCAGAGTGGTATTTGACGCACGTTACTGCCACTGGGCGGCGCTCAGCCTGTCATTCCGCCGAATCTCTATTATGAACATAATAGCCTGAGGTCCCCAGGTAAGATGCACGTTATAATTGTTTATATTAGGCGTGCAGAATTTTAACAAGAATTTCAACAAAAATTTTGCCGCGGTTAAACCACGCACGATCAATTTTTCTAATTGCCAAACACCACTCTGGGATATACAATAAAGTAAAACAATTACTTGTAAAGCGATGCACTACTAGACTGGACTGCGCCGCGCATCAAATAATTCTTCTCGCAACCACGTAGATCGCAGCAAAATGCACTATTGGGCCTTGCCGAACTGGCTTTTACTAATTCGCTGAAATGCTCGCCCAAAAATTTCATGTGACTTTGGTTTTTATTGTCATACGTTGTATGACCCGCCGCGCACAGGTGCGCGGCTCCCCTGTATCGTAGAAACTCTACAGGGGTATAGTGAAACGGCGATGGGGGTTACTGGGCGGCGCTCAGCCTGTCATTCCACCAAATCTTTATTCTTTATGAAACATAATAGCCTGGGGTCCCCAGGTAACGATGGGGGTCACGACGTGATACAAGGTTTTTATAGTTTTGCAGCCGTACAGAACGGTTTTACATAAACCCTAATCCCAACCCTAACAACCATAATATATAATCCCGAAGCTATCCGATACCCGTACCACATGACCCTAACCCGAGCCCTAGCCCTAAACAATCGAATAAACAAAAAAGGAAAAGGAGAAGGAGGAGGAGACGGAGACAGAGACAGAGACGGAGACGGATACGGAGACGGAGACGGAGACGGAGACGGAGACGGAGACGGAGACGGAGACGGAGACGGAGACGGAGACGGAGACGGAGACGGAGACGGAGACGGAGACGGAGACGGAGACGGAGACGGAGACGGAGACGGAGACGGAGACGGAGACGGAGACGGAGACGGAGACGGAGACGGAGACGGAGACGGAGACGGAGACGGAGACGGAGTATCATATCAAATTGTTGTTATTCTCTAGCCGACGGCTTGCTAGTTAAATAAATCGTACGCGTAATCAGTTTTAATCCCGGCCTCACGGAAAATCCCGAAACACGCGGTATCATAAACGTATTCGTAAACGGATGAAAGGCGACCATGTTACTAGTTCTATATAGATTATAGCTATAAGTATTAGTAGAAGTGTTACTGAGAGATGTACACTTTGTGTTCATGTGTCGGCAAGAGAATAACCTCATTTGATCTCCTTTTCCTTCTCCTTGTCTCCTTGTTTCATTGTCTCCTTGTCTCCTTGTGTCCTTGTCTCCTTGTGTCCTTGTCTCCTTGTGTCCTTGTCTCCTTGTGTCCTTGTCTCCTTGTGTCCTTGTGTCCTTGTCTCCTTGTCTCCGTGTCTCCTTGTCTCATTGTATCCTTGTGTCCTTGTGTCCTTGTGTCCTTGTGTCCTTGTGTCCTTGTGTCCTTGTGTCCCTGTGTCCTTGTGTCCTTGTGTCCTTGTGTCCTTGTGTTCTTGTGTCCTTGTGTCCTTGTGTCCTTGTGTCCTTGTCTCCTTGTGTACTTGCCCTTGTCTATTTGTCCTTTTCTCCTTGTCCTTGTCACCTTGTCTCCTTGTCATTGTCCTTGTTTCATAGTCTTTGTCTCCTTGTCCTTGTCTCCTTGTCTCATTGTCTCCTTGTCTCCTTGTCTCCTTGTCTCCTTGGCTCCTTGTCTCCTTGTCTCCTTGTCTCCTTGTCTCCTTGTCTCCTTGTCTCCTTGTCTCCTTGTCTCCTTGTCTCCTTGTCTCCTTGTCTCCTTGTCTCCTTGTCTCCTTGTCTCCTTGTCTCCTTGTCTCCTTGTCTCCTTGTCTCCTTGTCTCCTTGTCTCCTTGTCTCCTTGTCTCCTTGTCTCCTTGTCTCCTTGTCTCCTTGTCTCCTTGTCTCCTTGTCTCCTTGTCTCCTTGTCTCCTTGTCTCCTTGTCTCCTTCTCCTTCTCCTTCTCCTTCTCCTTCTCCTTCTCCTTCTCCTTCTCCTTCTCCTTCTCCATCTCCTTCTCCTTCTCCTTCTCCTTCTCCTTCTCCTTCTCCTTCTCCTTCTCCTTCTCCTTCTCCTTCTCCTTCTCCTTCTTACCAACATCTTATCATCGTTGTACAATTTTTGTGGTTGCAAACTTTCAGTTCTCTGGCAACAAGGATTAAGATAGATCGCTAAATATTATGTCAATGTGTACAGTGTATCCATATAACATATAGTGAAACAAATGTAATTAACTCAAGATTAAGAAGCGGTTGTAATTTATCAAAACGCAAATTATTAAAAATCAAAACGCAAATTATCGTCATGACGGCAAAAGATATATCTTTTATTTCCAATTTGCTGCGAAAATATTGGCAGATGTGCAAAAAATCCCAAGCTTCCCTAGAATTCATGTTTTACTAGCCTGTCACGTGACCAAAACGGTTTTTTTGCTTATAACTCTCCAGGGAAGCATTTTTACCCTACGTCATGGGGGGTGATTCGGAATTAGCGTCCAAAAATACATCGTACCCAAAGGGCCTTCTCACAAGAATTTTCTTAAAATTTGGGCGAGCGATTTAGTATGAGCGCGCCGAGCTATGTTATTTATAATACCTCATAGTTATACAATAATCGCTTATAGTCCAGTCATTTATGATAAATGAACCTGCAAATTTTCAGATACTCACGAAACTTTGCACAGACCTTCCCAAAGGTATGAATAAACGATTTTCGGTTGGAGGCATTTTTTTACCACGGGGAAAACCCAGGAGGGCTACGCACATATTGACCCAATAACGTAACCGACCCTTTGCTTCTGAAGGTCGTAGAGACTTCAAAATAGGCTTAAACGAAGCCGCATATGCATGTTTATATAGAAGTTATTGATCAACACATGGCCTAAAATCCTTAATTTTCGAGAAATTCGCCAAAAACCATTTTGGGCGAGGCGCTGAGCCAATTTGCTAACTTTTGATATAATCGTGATAGAGTCCTCGGACAAAGTGCAAAAGAACCGCAATTGGCATATTTATATATAACTTATGAAAAAACATGTGCCTTAAAGTGCTTACTTTTTCAGTTATTGGCGAAAAACTGATTTTCGGTTCCAGAAATCATGCAAAAATATGGGTATCTGGTAAATTGAGCTATGAAGGCCCTAGAGATTTTTGAATGAGTGCAAATTGTGCAGAATGGCCATGTTTATATACAACTTATGAAGCAATATGTACCCTAAAATGCTCACTTTTCGAGTTATTTGGGGGAAAACCAGAGAAAATTTTCACGAAATAGAGCAAAATTGGTTATATATAAGCCATTTTTGCCTCCCGTTCTATGTCAATAACTCGAAAAGTGAGCATTTTAGGGTACATATTGCTTCATAAGTTGTATATAAACATGGCCATTTTGCACAACTTGCACCCATTCAAAAATCTCTAGGGCCCTCATAGCCCAATTTACCAGATACCCATATTTTTGCATGATTTCTGGAACCGAAAATCAGTTTTTCGCCAATAACTGAAAAAGTAAGCACTTTAAGGCACATGTTTCTTCATAAGTCATATATAAATATGCCAATTGCGGTTCTTTTGCATTTTATCCGAAGACTCTATCACGATCATATCAAAAGTTAGTAAAATGGGCTCAGCGCCACGCCCAAATTGGTTTTTGGCGAATTTCTCGAAAAGTAAGGATTTTAGGCCATGTGTTGATCAATAACTTCTATATAAACATGCATATGCGGCTTCGTTTAAGCCTATTTTGAAGTCTCTACGACTTTCAGAAGCAAAGGGTCAGTTACATTATTGGATCAATATGGGCGTGGCCCTCCTGGGTTTTCCCCATGGTAAAAAATGTCTCCAACCGAAAATCGTTTATTCATACCTTTTGAAAGGTCTGTGCAAAGTTTCGTGAGTATCTGAAAATTTGCAGGTTCATTTCCATAAATGTCCATTAATAACTGGACTATTATTATAATATCGCGTAATTTTGTTGTTAATTGTGTCCTCGTTCCAAATACATAAAAAACTAAGCGCTCATAATCGTTTATAATCGCTTATATACCCCGCTTACATAATCGCTTACATACCCCAAATAAATCAAATCAAAACATATTTTGATCATAGTTTTAAAATGCGTCAAAAAGCGTTTTTCATCGTTTATAATCGCTTATAAGCGACAATTGAAGACAATAACATTTACGATACTTTATAATCACTTATAATCGCTTATAATATCTCGTACCTGACAATTTTTTCCTCGTTTCAAATACGTAAAAAAGCGCTTATAATCGTTTATAATCGCTTATAGACAGCAAATAAATAAGCGCTTATAAACGCTTTTCAGTAGGAAAATTTCAAGAAAAGCGGTTATAAGCGCTGATCATAGTGAAAATATCGCTTTTTAGCAGATTTCAAAAAATCGCTTATTGTCGCTTATAATCGTTTTATAATCGATTTAAACCGCTTATTAACTTAAAATAAAAAAGCGTTTCTTTAACGATTAGTAGGCGCTTTTTAATTTGGAACTTTCCCTAGTGAATATAATCGCTTATAGTCGATTAAAAGCGTTTTAAAAACGGTCCAAAAAACGGTTTATAAGCGTTTTTTTGAAAAGCGCTTACGGAGCGATAATAATCGACAACCCTAAAATAAAAGCGTTTTTTTATCACTAATAATTTTAATTCGCGATTTATTATCGCTTTTAAAGCGTTAATAATCGCTTTTGCAAAAATATTTTATGGAAAAAGCGATTATAATCGTTTTTAACCGTTTATTAACGGGACCGTTTATAATCGCTTTATAATCGCCAAATAACGGTGGGTTTTATCAATAAGCGCTTTTTTAGCGTAAAAAAAGCGGTTATTACCGCTGATCACAAAAAATTAGTTATGGAAACTTGCCATATGAAGCTAATTTTCAACGAAGTAATATGACAATGGATGAAAGCAAAAAACATAAGCGAGACAAAGAAGGTAAAAGAGAGAATTCAATACTGAACAAGGTTACGTAATGAGTCAAGTTGAAATCTTACCTTATCTAAGCTCACAGATAAGACCACCACAAGTTCAGGTAGACTGTTACATCTGCAGTTCTACACTTACTGTATCTTCCAGACCTGTTGGCGGTCTTAATAGTATTATCTTAAAAAGCCTCAATTCAGGCGTAGAGTACCTAGTGGTACTTAGATTTGATATCTGGTCGAGATAATCTAAATTAGGAGATATTGTGACTTGAAGACCTGTAAAATAATATGAGGCTCTTACATACCTGCAGTTTGCAGAACCCTGGCATTGTAAGTGTCGTTAGTAGGGTTTAAGTGTCGTTAGTAGGCATTGTAAGTGTCGTTAGTAGGGTTTAAGATGACAGTCGAGAATCAGGGTCTTATTTGAAGGTTTCTGTCTTTGAAGATTTGCGATCAGTTGGTAGATGATATGCGCGATTGTGCATGGTACATCGTTCATCTCCTAAAATGTTATTTAGGTTATGGAAAGATTGACGAAAGTCGGTGATTTCAGATAGTTGAAATTAATTACTACTAACGCATATTCTATTTCTATCGAAGGGGTGGACAATGATCTTATGTCATTTAGAAATTCACAGGGGCGCATTTTTAAGAACATTAAATTATGATAAGTATTAATTGAACTTATCACAACAACAATTAAATTGAAAAAAAACAGATTTATATCAACTTCACTAGGAGGTGCGCACTAATTTCACCATAAGGGTAGAAACTTGATAGTTCTAGAAACGTTGGAAATATTTCAAATATTCAAAACATTCAACAAAAACATTTTTAATAAAGCATTACAATCTGATGTATGTATGTAACAATATGAACAAGCCGTGCCAGGGCCACTGTCACAAACCCAAATTCGACAAACTTAAATAATAAACCCATATATTTGCAAGTTTAAGGGTTCTAAAACGTGGAAGCAAGTAACAACTGGTAACATGTTATTCTATAAGCTTTCTAGGAATTTGGGAATATCTGGTCTAGTAAAGCAACATAAAATGCAAGTTAGCGGATTTCTCCAGAACTTGTCTCAAAGTTCCGAGAGTAAGTTTAACTGACACTGGATAGTGTTCTAAAGTTGTGTTCATGTCATACAGCACTAAGTATCCCGGGGGACTACGACCCTTTTTCTTGCTGTTATAATATTTGTTCACCACAGTCAGTGGCCGGTCTGGGGTCTTCTTATTCAGGGTGATCACGTGCAACTTCGTGACTTGTTCGAACGATTTCAGGAGGTAAAGATCCGGAGGGGCTTTGTGATTTTCCATCTTGGGCCTTGTCGGGAAACTGTGTTTAGTGTGGCGCGTGCACGTGAGCTCGCGCACATCAGGGAGTAGCCTCTGCACGTGTGGGAGGAGCACTCGTGAGATGTAAAATTCTGGAATGTTGTGATAGCATATCATTTGTAAGAGGGACCTGAAACTGGCAGGTTCGGAGGTGTGAGCGTCCCCCCATCTCATCACACTTTCTGCTATCAGGAACTCCTGTTTACCTGTGCAAACGATATAAGTGTAAATTCAACACTGATATACTTGCTAATTCTGCAATTATTCACAACATGCTGGAGGAGAGAGAAATCAAATTATTGAATTATTGAATCAGGGGTAGAGGCCTAACAAGGTTAATGAATTTTGGTATTGTTCGAAACCTAGACTTCGCAAAATAACTCAATTTCAAAGAATACTGTAAATGGGCAACCTAAATTCTCCATAAATTTTCTAGCAAAAGGGGCCTCCTTAAAAGCAACTCTTTCTGAGGAAAGGCATAACCTCGCCAAAACCATTAGGGACTACGGGTGTAGTCCCTACAAAACCATGTACCTGCGTTAATCTCTGCCAGCATATCCTTCACAACCTCAGCAGTCAGTTGCTCCCACATAACTTGGTGAATATTCCTGGTGATGGAGGACATGACGTACTGGACACAAAGCAGCAGGACATTCTGGTGCTTTTGTGACTGTGTATGTCTGGAGAAGAGACGTAATGTTGGTGGAGTCCACTAGTTGGTTCTCTGAGATGTATTCTACAACGCATTGCTTTGTCGGTGGGGTTTGCTCGGGGATAACTTTCACGTAGAACCTGAAAGATAGAGTCTGAAAGTTCCAGATTGTTCCAGAATCCAGATTGTTCCTGTATTATAGTATAAATAAAATTAATGGAGAAACCCTAGATTGTTCAACATGTTTGTTCATCATATTGTGTCACTAATGATCTTATTGTAACCTTCATGAGCTGTTTAGAATCCGCACACCGAGCACTGTTGTTGTACTGGACAGAGTGAACAATCAGTTGCAGCAGGGTCTCGTCATCACCCGTCAGCTTCCTCGACAACTTCTTGCTGGAACCCTTGCCACCAAACACGTGATTAGTGTTGTTCAGTGCAACAAGTCCTGGAACTTTCATGAATTTGTTTATCTTGATCAGGAGTCTGAGTTTAGTGTCGTCCTCGAGACCCTTTGCAGCAGAGATCCAGTCGTAAACAGGTCCAACCAGCTGCTCCTTGCTGAATTGAAGTATTTTAAGAACTCAGACGTAATATAATGTGCAGAATTTGATAGAAATCCAAATTATTAAAGTATTAAGAAAATGATTGTGCCAGGTGCATCTTGATTCTTGAGTAATAGTATTTTTGTTCAAAATTATTGTCCTTTAATCTGACCTCATAAGATGATAGCGAATATTGAATAGAAGTTCAGAGATGTAGCTCCCTCGTTTGACCTGATCATATTCATACCATCTACTGACCAGGTAGAACACCTGAAGGGCTTGTGCTATACAATATACATACTTACCAACTATATATTGCAGCGGGGGGGGGGGGGGGGGGAGCTAACCAAACTCATAATGAATTATATTAAAAGTAATTATCAAACATAAACACATTCAATGCAGTACATTTCGTTAACTCTCCCTACTTACGTCAGACTCCTGAATATTGAGGCTGTCAGTAGAAACCAGTACCGCCATGGACTCAGGTTCCAACCTCCACAAATCCCCACAATCGAGTAGAGATGTGAAGAGGGGATGGGTTAGATTACTGATACACAGGTCTTTAAGCGGTTCACATTTGAGTTTTGTAGCAAACCTGTCCAAAGTAAATACGTACGATCATCGTATGTGAATAACGTATGTGACGATCTTGTTAATAACGGAAGGATAAGTTTTATGGCGAATGATGTCGAAATTATACCGATAATCGAGAATAATTTATGTTTTCCCGGTTATGGTCGCACAGAAATAAATGGTTTATGTTCATTTCACGACTTTCACTAATATACAATTTCGTTTAAACTGGAGTTTCGGCATAGTGGCCCAAGCACAACGGACACTTGATTGATAATTAATTACTTACTGGAAGATAATTAATTACTTACTGGAAGATCGCGACAAAGTCTTTAGGGATCATGCTCTCGAATAGTTTGAGAGAGAAGGATGAAATCCACCTGATTGAGTGAACCTTGGCAAACTTGTAGACAACTTTTATGTTATCCCTGAAACACATGAGGGGAGGATTAATAATTGGATTGCTTAAAAAGACTTGTCTACGTCATGTTAAACAGTTAAAGATTGGAAACAGAACTTTTTCGGCTTTGTTCACCTGTCAGTAACTGATCACAGTTTCAAATCACAGATAAATTACGGTTATTTGGTAAAATAAATGCTTCGTTTCCGCACAACCCCAATGACCGTTATTCTGGCTGCTGCCCCAGTGGCCAGTACCTAAATCTAGTTAGCTCAATATTACGGTTAACCTTAGAACGAAGAATTACATTTCTGGGGTAAGACGACACAAACCCACTTGTAGTGAAATAGTAATCAGTTCCTTGCATCAACTCCGTTTCTTAGGTCTATCAAAGAAACAGCTAATTGCCAGCAAATAAACCTGTTGACGACGAGGCACCCGGTGTAGAAACTCTCGACAATCTCCCTTAAAATTTCATGATCCTCCGTGTAGTCCAATAAGTCAACTGTCAAGCGTCCCTAAGATAACAGAAAATATCAGAAAAGTTATCAACAATAAGGGGAAATCAAACTATGCAAATCAATTGGTGTAAATTGTTGTTGTCCCTTTACTATTTACTAATTACTAATTAGCACATACCTCAATGTTGTGCTGTGCTTCAGTCTGGCTCTGTACCAGCTTGCTGTTCAAATCTAATATCAGTTTGTGCGCGTAGATCCGCTCGTTTCCCAACAAAATAATAACGTCACTTGTTTCTTTCTTATTAAACAGATTTCGAAACGATGTCAATATTTGTCGTTCCCAGGTCTCGTTAGGGCGGGGAGGAGAATAACGTGTCTCATTTAGATGAGAGGTATTTGCCAGACTTGGTTTAGTTGTATCAGCTGGTTGAGTGGCACTAACTGGACTTGTCTGGCCTGCACATACAGCGCTCGGTTGATCGCGTGTTGGTACTAGATTACGTTGTAAAGTGTGCTTCTTCTTGTCACCAGGGAAGCTATGATCGTGAATTATATCTGGAACGTTCTTGGTATTCTTCTGAAATTCTGGAGCCCGGGATGAACCTTTATCAGGAGCAGGTACGTCAGGGCGAGGTGGTTTTTTGTTGGGAGCTTTCTTATCAGCTGAAGCAGGCCTTTTCGCCACAAGTTTGGTGGGTCGATCAGCAGTGAGCATCACAGTAACTTCGGTGAAAGTTTTCAAAACTAGCCGAGCTAAAATGTAAAGATGAGACGAGAACAAACTGCTAATAACCAGCATACGAGGAGGAGACAAAGAAGGCAGCTTCAGGGCAGTCAAATGATCCTCCAATACGGGTTAAAGTTAGGGAGTTCTGACAGTTAAACAGTGATTGGTCAGACTGGGAACACAGGGAAACGTTATCATGCTCGTCACGTGACGTAGTGCTCATCACGTGACGTAGTGCTCATCACGTGACGTAGTGCTCATCACGTGACGTAGTGCTCATCACGTGACGTAGTGCTCATCACGTGACGTAGTGCTCATCACGTGACTCAGTGCTCATCACGTGACGTAGTGTGAGCTTGACAGTGAAATACATCAGGCATTGCAATTACCTTGTGAAAATATTCTTAGTATTCACTGTGATCTTCGAATTGAAGTTGAAGAATTAACTTTGATTTCATGATTACATAATTGGAGGGTGAATATGTGACGATCTTACAAATTTCAAGCAACCAAATTCGTACACTATTGGGAATATTAAAGTGATGGCTGACACAAACCAGTGTCCCCCCCCCCCCCCGCCACCGACACAACCCCACCTCCTCGTACACTATTGGGAATATTAAAGTGATGGCTGACACAAACCAGTGTCCCCCCCCCCGCCACCGACACAACCCCACCTCCTCGTACACTATTGGGAATATTAAAGTAATGGCTGACACAAACCAGTGTCCCCCCCCCCCCGCCACTGACACAACCCCACCTCCTCGTACACTATTGGGAATATTAAAGTGATGGCTGACACAAACCAGTGTCCCCCCCCCCCGCCACCGACACAACCCCACCTCCTCGTACACTATTGGGAATATTAAAGTGATGGCTGACACAAACCAGTGTCCCCCCCCCGCCACCGACACAACCCCACCTCCTCGTACACTATTGGGAATATTAAAGTAATGGCTGACACAAACCAGTGTCCCCCCCCCCCGCCACCGACACAACCCCACCTCCTCGTACACTATTGGGAATATTAAAGTAATGGCTGACACAAACCAGTGACCCCCCCCCCCCCCCCCCCCGCCACCGACACAACCCCACCTTCTCGGGTGTTCAAACCCCATTTCTCCCAAAACTCTCACAGCTACAGGAGACTGTGTAATATGACTAGTAATTTATTGCAGGGAATGAACAATCCGGACGAAGAGAGATCAGCCTTTGCCGACATGCCTAGTAAACTATATAGCGAAGTTAAAGTGGCAGACTTTGAAGACAAAGTAAGTATTAGTAACGAACAGCGCTTCAACATTTCCTTATATTATATGTATATTAATTATTATAAGTGTAGCCTATATCACACTCCGATTCTTTCAATGACTGTACGAAAGGGAGTTCGGTCCCTTGTTAATATTGATCGCGCAATTCTCAATCCCAAAACTTTCAGTTGCAGATAATGTCTTCCTACAAATACAGGAGAACGGACATGGAGGATGTGCCAGACGATACTAAGATTTATTATCACGAAAATTATATCACAAAAGTTAAGGATTGTGTCGATACCCATTTGAGTGAAGAGAGGTGAGTTCTTGATATTACCAGATCAAATGAAATTCAAACATTTGTTAACTTTACCACACTACTGTACATACAGAGTACTAATTGCAGATAAGATAAATTAAAAGCTGTTTTAGAATTTTCTACAAGTAGCAACTACCCACTATACGCACCAAACCACAGTGATTTCAAGACGTACGTAGGGACGAGGTTCATGCTCCAGTACGCTCCAGCGGGTAAGGAGAGTTGGAGGAAGCTGTGGTGGGATAACCAGCAACATGTCACTAAAGTTGCAGTCAAACCAGCTAGATGGAAGACGTGTCTCTCAGCGGTGAGTGTTTCATATATGAAAATATTGAAATGTACTTGAACTTTCCATGGATTTGTTTAAGTTGAATTTATCTACATTTTGATATGAATCATGTATGGTAATTCTACGCTTTCAGATCACGTCTTACATGCCCGAAGTAGTGGGTCGGATATTTGCTGATGAGGCCTTTAAGGAGGACGCCAAAAAGGATGTAAGAAAATTAATACAGATATTGTAATAAGTTACCGTTTATTAATTTAAGATTGAAATTGCTTTAACACTTTGATAGTTAAAAATAAAACAAAGTGTCACAATCAATAAACCAAAATTAATTTGTCAGACGTTGGAGATGATTCAGGACATTAAGAACGCCTTTAAACAAATCTTACCGAACTTGGCATGGATGGACGAAAAAACAAGGGCCAATGCGATAGAGAAAGTAAGTAACTCTTATTATAAATATGATTAAAGTGGATAAAGTAAAGTAGATAAAGTAAAGTAGATAACACATAATAACGAGGAGAAAACATAACTGACGCTTGAACTACTTAATAAATATCTAAAATATAATGTCACTCACCATTGAATGCTTATTGGATCTTGTTAGGCGGACAACGTTGATAACAAGATAGGTTATGCGGAGTGGATTACTGATGATACCAAGCTCAACGAATACCTGAAGTCTGTAAGTACTAAGTAGGTTATTATTAGTTGGTTACTATGGTTACATTGCAGTATGTTCAATTTCAGATTAGCAAAAGTTATAATTTACCTATATCTCGAACAGAGTGCGATCGCATCTGAACTAATCTGTCCAATTTTTAAAACTTTTTACTGCCTGATTAGTTGGTTACTATGGTTACAACCAATCAATTTCAGATAACAATATCCGCCGACAATCTGTTGTCGAACACAATGTCAGCTGACAAAGCTCTCAGTAAGAAGAGTTTTGATTACGCTGGGGGTAAAGTTAACAAAGATAAATGGTACATGTCTCCAGCAACTGTAAACGCCTATTACAACCCTAAGGTACGCTCATTTCTTCATTTTAAATCATTACGGCCGTATCTATCGGATACACCAACATTTACAATTATGTTTGCATTGCATTTGTTGAAAGGCCTTTTAAAGAATGGAAAAGGAAGCTGCCTTTATGATTTTAATCCGGAGAACTCAGATGACGGAAGTAATAATTAGAGGTTGTAATAAGTAATAATTAGAGGTTGGCATCGCCCACCATCTCAAGTGTTCTGTGATAAGATTGGCCCTTTCTCCACCAAAAACTTATTCTTGTTATGTCCCAGGGAAACGAGATGGTATTCCCTGCCACTTATTTTTGTTTTGTCCCAGGGAAACGAGATGGTATTCCCTGCCACTTATTCTTGTTTTGTCCCAGGGAAACGAGATGGTATTTCCTGCCACTTATTCTTGTTTTGTCCCAGGGAAACGAGATGGTATTCCCGGCCGCTTATTCTTGTTTTGTCCCAGGGAAACGAGATGGTATTCCCGGCCACTTATTCTTGTTTTGTCCCAGGGAAACGAGATGGTATTCCCGGCCACTTATTCTTGTTTTGTCCCAGGGAAACGAGATGGTATTCCCGGCCACTTATTCTTGTTTTGTCCCAGGGAAACTAAATAGTATTCCCTGCCACTTATTCTTGTTTTGTCCCAGGGAAACGAGATAGTATTCCCGGCCACTTATTCTTGTTTTGTCCCAGGGAAACGAGATGGTATTCCCGGCCGCTTATTCTTGTTTTGTCCCATTGAAACGAGGTGGTATTCCCTGCCACTTATTCTTGTTTTGTCCCAGGGAAACGAGATGGTATTCCCGGCCACTTATTCTTGTTTTGTCCCAGGGAAACGAGATGGTATTCCCGGCCGCTTATTCTTGTTTTGTCCCAGGGAAACGAGATGGTATTCCCGGCCACTTATTCTTGTTTTGTCCCAGGGAAACGAGATGGTATTCCCGGCCACTTATTCTTGTTTTGTCCCAGGGAAACGAGATGGTATTCCCGGCCGCTTATTCTTGTTTTTTCCCAGGGAAACGAGATGGTATTCCCGGCCACTTATTCTTGTTTTGTCCCAGGGAAACGAGATGGTATTCCCGGCCGCTTATTCTTGTTTTGTCCCAGGGAAACGAGATGGTATTCCCTGCCACTTATTCTTGTTTTGTCCCAGGGAAACGAGATGGTATTCCCTGCCACTTATTCTTGTTTTGTCCCAGGGAAACGAGATGGTATTCCCGGCCACTTATTCTTGTTTTGTCCCAGGGAAACGAGATGGTATTCCCGGCCGCTATACTCCAACCCCCATTCTATCACGTGACATATCCAGCGTACGTCAACTACGGGGCGATTGGTGTGGTTATTGGACACGAACTCACTCACGGATTCGATGATAACGGTTTGCATTCCTTTATGCTTTCATTTATTTAGGATGTATTGTTTGTTTCGTGCCGATAATATTTAACTCCTTACTACGCATGAAAGTGTTGCTTTTAGAAACGTTTACCAATCAATTCATCGAAATATCTTAATCGAAATGTTCACATACACTGGATACAGCAAGAACAAATAAGAACGACTTAATTCCAATTTTATACAAAAACAAACAATTACATAACAGAGAAACAGCACCTTTTTTATTATAAACTTTTAGTTTCACAAGAAAATGAATAAAGTTATACCTCACTTTATCTCAGGTCGCCTGTATGACTTAATAAAGTTATACCTCACTTTTTCTCAGGTCGCCTGTATGACTTAATAAAGTTATACCTCACTTTTTCTCAGGTCGCCTGTATGACTTAATATAGTTATACCTCATTTTTTTCTCAGGTCGCCTGTATGATAAGGACGGGTATCTAAAAGAGTGGTATACTGATGAGGCAAAGAAGGGGTTCCAAGAGCGAGCAAACTGCATGATCAACCAATACAGCGGCTATACCGTCATGGGTTCAAAGGTGAGGAGTCCTTCTTTACAGGGGGTTAACTTTGGGTGACCATGTTTGAAAGATTGGCTGGGCTCATTAGTCAGGGGAAAAGTGAAAATTTAGCAACTTCAAATATTGGTGATTTTAGAATTTTTCTAAAAACTACATTTTCCGTGTTTCAAACGATATTGTCATCGATCATTTTGAGCCAATTTAGCTAATTGGTAATAATCCAACGTAAAACGTTTTCTAACAAAATGTTTTCTCCTTGATGAGATGAACATCCTCGATTAATTTGTAACCTTCTGCGCCGTTCACCAGAAAGGTGGTAAGAATGTGGTAAAAAGTGGTAAAACGTGGTGTTGCCGTGAGATACAACATTAGCGACAAGTCTAATTATGTTCGTAGGAGTCCTAACTACCATATTCCGTTGCTAAAATCCTTACTACCCTTCAAATCCAACGGAACCCTTAAATTGATCACTTTTCCCCTGACATTACTTAAAAGTCGTTTTTAAATTTTTCATCAGATAAATAGAGATAAATAGAGAAGATACTGATAACGATGTCACAAATAAAGGAAACTTCACTTGTCTATTCCAAAGCTTGCTGAACTGTTCTTCATATGATTATGATCACTTCAGGTGAACGGTAATTTGACACTTGGGGAGAACATAGCAGACAACGGAGGAGTGAAGCAAGCCTACATAGCCTACCAGAATTGGGTGAAAAGGAACGGCGAGGAGGCGACCTTACCTGGACTGGATTTAACAAATGAGCAAGCCTTCTTCCTCTCGTATGCTCAGGTGCGTGGAGGCTTTACATTTTGTGCTGAATAACCTATTGAATAATCAGATAGCACTAGCTTTCTTGGAATTCATAGTTCATTTTATGTACTAACTACTATTCCATAGAAGATAGATGTACACAATAATTAAAGCACGGTAATTTTCAAGAAATCCTTCCCTAGATCTGGTGTCAGAAGAAGACCAAAGAAGCGTTCGAGCTGATGACAAAAGTTGATCCACACAGTCCAGGAATATTCAGGATAGAAGGTCCTCTCGTCAACTCCAAAGAATTTTCCAAAGCTTTCAAATGTTCTTCTGAAACCCCCATGAACCCAACAGACAAATGTGAAGTGTGGTGATATCTGCACCTATTAGGGCTAGGCTAATGCCATGTTTTTTAACTGATTTGTAGCTGTGAACGATGCTAGGTTAAATATTTTTACGGTAAACCAGTGGTCTGGGTCTGGAGGAATACTGAAATTACCCCCTGAAGTTGATCGCGATTGTCCTGGAGCAGTGCCATCAGGAATTTATATTTCATTTGTTGAACCACTCCCAGAATCCCCCACAATTACAGACGCGCAAGTCATATTAACACCCTTGAACTTTGATTACTGTCTGTCGATCACGATATTCTAATTTATTCGCCCTACCATAATCTGTTGTGATTAAATTTTATTGTTTTTATATTGTTCGTTTATCACAAACCTGTGTTATTTCTGGTAACCTGTCTTATTCCAATTCTTTTAAGATATTATAATAAAAGGATCTTAATCACAATCTAACATTAAATTTAGTCAATGATAATCGATTCGTCGAGCATGGTTCGTTAGCAACAGAGAACAATGGCGGAAAGTATATAATCGGAAAATTTAATAGAATATTTTAAATCGAATAATTGTTAACGAAAACCATTGCTTAGAGCTTCACGGCACGCAACGCATCACATATTTGATAACGCGTTACGTGCCCTTTAGCTGGGGTCTACAGCGGTTTTCCCCCGAAATTAAATTAGTTGCCCATACTCATAGAGTATACGAGCCGTGATCGAAGGCTTTGATTAAATATGGTTGGTCGGAGGAGATGTGGCGGCCCTACACACTTGTTTATAATTATTGTTATGCGTATATTCGAATAACATAAAGATTTATAAATCAGACCAACTTATAGATCAGACCAACTTTAGCGATTGTTTTTTTGTATAAGTTGGATTTAATCAAACAATTTTTCGACCGAAACTAGAGCAGTTTTAAACTAATTACAACACTACGTCACTACAAATCTATTACATTTATTGAGGACGTTATATTTACAGAAGGAATATATTTAATGTAGTTTGAGGACCGAGGAGTCCTAACTATCCTCACGTCTGACAATAGTGTTTCTCTTGTTGCTAATATGGTTACAATCCAGCCAGACAATCACTTATTTGGCTGATTGGTTATTACTATTAGTATTAGTTTGTAACTTATTTTCACAATCACATTTAAATAAATTTATTGAAGAAGCGATGTAACTGAGTGAGTAATGTTACCATTACATGGGGCGGCAAGACCCATTCGACGCAGCCAGCTACTCTCAGCTTCACTGCCTCCTAAATCTAATATTATGATTGATTGTAAACCGAGACGGTGCCCGGGTGGTTCTAATGACCAATTTGAATCTTTACAAATATATAATAAAATTATATTCATATAATTCAATTTCCTTTCCTTCCACAGATTAAAATCATGAAATGTGCGCGTCATTAGCTAGTAGTAGCCTCGATCGAGGATCGCATATTTGTTTGATGCTCATAATATGAGCATATTATTATAAATATATAACATAATGACGGTCTATTAAACCTTTTTTGGATCATCTTCCGGAGAAGTATCGCCGCAGATGTCTTTACTCCACGGGTTGATATTCTGTATGTATGTAGTTGTAATTCCAGATCAGAGCCTCAAAAGGACGTAGCCTTTTTTATGGACGCCACCATAATTCTTCATTTCAGTTTAAAAGTCGTTTTTAATATAAACATTGACGATAGAATTATAAAACTCAGTGTTCATGTTAATCCTTAGTAAAATGAACAGGTAGTTGATAACAATACTTTACATTGTACATAAATAACTTTATTTCCATTCATTTGATCTGTGCACAAATTGCTCGTCAGTCGAACTTTAGCAGTTGTATCCTCTAATATCAGATAATCATGTTTAAACGTCCTTCCTGATCAAGAGTCGCTCGCAAGCATTCGCAGTTTTTAAAGCTCCTGAAAGTCCGGAATTGTTCGGTACTACGGACCAGCGCTTTAAGAAATACTCCGTGAGAAACCACAGCTATGTTCTTTTCTGGCCTCTCGTTAAGGAATCTTTTAAATTCCTCTACTCTTTCTTGTACCTGTACAGTGTATTATGTATATTGTATATTGATTTTTTAAAGGAAGCAGTGACGATAAATTCGAGCACCTTTTCGAAAGGCCGTCGTACATAAAATTTAACTTTAATATTATTACTTTTCAAATAGTACAAGGGATTGGACGATTGATGATAACTCTTTGCTTGCTTTTATGACTCTATTTAATAATGACTATTTGAATGGTATTATATTGAAAGTGGAAAGACTAGCGTTTTCACCTGTGGATAAGTCTCGTCCTCGGTCCACCAGACATCCTCAATATCTGAGAAGTTGTGGTGGGGAAACTCAGTCTCTAGGTCAGATCTGTTACTGCCGTAGTCACACGGGAAATCGCCTTGCTCTGTTAACAGTTTCAACATCTATTACATGGTTACTAGGTGGTTACTAGGTGGTTACTAGGTGCACTGTTACTGCCGTAGTCACACGGGAAATCGCCTTGCTCTGTTAACAGTTTCAACATCGATTACATGGTTACTAGGTGGTTACTAGGTGGTTACTAGGTGGTTACTAGGTGGTTACTAGGTGCACTGTTACTGCCGTAGTCACACGGGAAATCGCCTTGCTCTGTTAACAGTTCCAACATCGATTACATGGTTACTAGGTGGTTACTAGGTGGTTACTAGGTGGTTACTAGGTGGTTACTAGGTGCACTGTTACTGCCGTAGTCACACGGGAAATCGCCTTGCTCTGTTAACAGTTTCAACATCGATTAGTACATCAAACTGTGTTGTTTAAATACTAGCTATCGTTTTTAAACAGTAGGATCAATAAACACGATTGTTAACCGTATCTGCATGCTTTACCTCTAAGAAGGGGAGAGATAATCACTGGACATCTAGTGGTGGAAAGCACCAGGTCGTATGTCTCCAGAGTCCGTCTCATGGGCGATATTATTACAAGTTCCAAGTCAAAACTCCGCCTGCAAATTGCATTGTTTCACGATATTGTTTTCATTTTGAAACTTGCAGTTGTACTTTTGTATCACGCCGTGGTTTTTGGCTTCACATTTGACAGCAAACATCAATATTTAAAGCTAGCGCCAGATAAACCTGAGAAAATTAGAAAGCCGATGTTTTAGATCTTTCGCTTGTTGGATTCCTTTTCTGTTCAAATTTGGGTCCCTCAATTCCTGAGCTTCTTGTGACCTGATTCAGTGGATTTAAAGAATGCGGAACACGCTCAACATTGTCCTTTAACTATAACTATATATTTTGGCATAATCTCGAGACGTTTTATTGCTTTGTAAAGAACTCTCACCTGTTTTGAGCGAATAGGACGTTGTGGTCTGCCTCCCCATGCCTAATTAGTAGTAATTCTTTCATTTCCTTTGATTCACAGCCAGAGGTTGAGGATCTTTCCTCATGAATTCTCCTCAAGTTTCCATTACATAATTGCCCTTATTTCATCTAATGAAAAAATGATTAAGATAACGAAAGGAATTGCTTTCATAGCGAAATTTTATACTGTAACAAAGCATTGTTATCCAAGAGCATTGTTACCCAGGAACATTGCTACCCAGGAGAATTGTTACCCAGAGCATTTTGCCTGGTCCTGGGGCGGAACAAATTTATGACGGATTACGATCATATTAAGATTAATTATTCTGCTATAGAACTAGAAAGACAATATGAAGGAAAGGTTTCAGCCATTGTCGGAAAAGGAAGAAGCAGCAGAGCCTGAAGAAAATGACAATCAGTTACACGACAGACTTTCAATGGAAGAACTTGTTGACAAGTAGGTGAAAATCATCTAAATTTAGGATGTTCTCATTTCTTAGGCCCATTTTTCAAAAACTGAACAGGAGATTTATCCATAGTCCATACTGCCCAAGAACGCAAATATCCTGTTATTGGGCCTCATTGCGTTCATACATTGTATCAGTACATATGTTAATTTTGAGAGCAAATTAATTTATCTGTCGCTCATACGAATATCCAGACATAAATCCCTCCCTAGGGCCGTTGGAACGTCTAAAGGTCGATATGTTGGATTTGTGTCTCTGTTCATGTTATCTAATTTAACAGCTTCTTTGATGTGCTATCTTCCTGTATTAACTGGTAAGTAAACTTCCACCTAATAAAACAAGCAAATTTGGTAAAACTCTAACTCGGTGATTACTCTTATAATAATATTGTAATTGTTTAATTTTTTTTAATCATTTAAACTAAATTTACTTTAATTTCACAACAGGTTACATCCCGTACACAGAGTGGCAATGTGTCTCAGAGCGATGTTATGCCCTACTAGAGAATCACGCTGGAGAAAACCACACGTTTTACACCAGAGACGCCATGTGCTCCAACGACCTTGAAGCCGACATCGACTTCATCTGGACGCCCAAACGATCCAGTTTCGCTGTGGACTTTGGCATTTATTGCGGTACTGAGTCACAGAAATCAAATATCGACAGTTTTTACTTTATAGGAGCCTTTGTGGGTTTGTTGGGAAGTTCTAGTTTGTTTGACATGTTCGGCAGGAAGAAAGTTACCTTAGGAGGGGGCTTATTTGCTGTTGCTGCAACTATCGGGATGGCATTTGCAACAAATCTACAAACAATGTTGGGTCTACGGGTGATGCAAGGTCTGGGAGTGCTTGTTGCTATGACGGGACGTTATGTTTGGTGCATGGAGTTCACCCCTTTAAGACTGAGAAATGTTGCCAACACACTGATTCAAATCACTTGGCCTCTTGGTACTGGAGTTCTCATTTTGGTCTGTTACATGGTCACAAACTGGAGATTCAGTGTCGGGATAGTTTCCTTTATCTCATTCCTTTTCTACTTACAACTTCTAGTTTGTCCAGAGTCGCCAAGATTCTTCGCTTTCCGAAACAAAGAAGAGGAGGCCATGGAGATTCTCAACAAGCTGGCGAGGTTCTACAACAATCCTGCCCTCCCAGAGAACTGCCTAGAAAGAGAGGTGGACCAAGTAGGAAAGAGTGATGGCTTTCTAAAACAAATGAAGGCTTTCATTTTGTACCCAGTGATGTTGAGAAGGACCGTTTTCCTCATGATATGCTGGTTCACGGTCTCACTATTTTACTACGGACTTAGTTTCGGCTGGCATAAAATGGGCAGCAACATCTTCGCAAGTCAAGGATTTGGGAGTCTCTCTGAAGTCGTGGCATGCACTCTAAGTTTCACCCTTGTTGGTACAGCAGGAAGAAAGAAAACTCAGATGGTTGCGTTTCTTGGAATAGGTATCTGTTTTGGGATTGCCATGATTGACGTTCCGCTCTCCTCAACATGGCAACTACAACAAGTGGCTTGTCTGTTCGCCATCGTCTTTATAGCCACGGAGTTTGTCACAGTCTACCTTTACACCGCTGAGCTGTCTCCCACCTCTCACAGAGGGATGATAATGAGTCTTTGTTCTGGAACAGCAAGAATCGGGTCTTTTATGGGTCCCTACCTTAGTCTACTCTATGACGTCCTTGATAGGAGAATAGTGCTGGGAATGTTCGGCGGGATGGGGCTGTTGGCAGCGGTGGGGACTTTCTTCTTATTGGAGGATAGCACTGGGATGGCGGTAGCTGAAACCCCGGCTGGTCTGCAAGGAGCAAAGAGGCTTGAAGAAGAGGAATCTGTGCAAGACGATAGTCCATGAAGAAAACTCTTAGACAATAATTATAATTCCAGACAGTAAATTCTCAATTATTGAGAGCTAGAACCCCACTGATTTTAAGCAATTCTGTAATTTTAGTTTATTTCGATATTTTCACTATTAGTCTGTACCGTGTAAACTTAAATTAATCGATGATAATGAAACTTCAGAGTATTTCGAAATCGATACCTTAAATACCGCATCAAATATCAACCACAGCCAAAGTTATAAATATTGAATAGTCAACATGGCGTTGGCGTAAATTATATATATTTTGGCTACTGGCTAGTCATCAGTCATGACGCATAATTAAGCATGAAACGCGCATCTTATGGGGTTGCTAAGCGACGACGCTGTATAATAGTATGTGTAGTTATAATTTTAAACTGAATTTACGCTTTTATTCTAAGGGGTCGTTCACATATCAGTATTACTATTACGTAACCCCCCCCCCCCCTCATCAGTCTTATACATAGCTATTGTGTCAATAGTACACTAGCGTAGTACACTAGCAATAGTACACTAGCGTAATCATTTGGAAACCCCCTCCCCCCGAATGAATCAAATATCATTCGGTCATTGGTTAAATCCGCTGCTGAAAACAAACTATTAGCTGTAAACAGAAAGAGTACAAACTACGGGCACTTGCAAATGTTACGGCAATCATAGTGCATGATTGTGTGTATGCTCAATATTATATCCGCTAGTTATAATTAGCTATTAAACAGTCATAGTGTGACTTGTAATATCTATAGATCTATTGAATAGTGACAACCGCCAATACCTATATAGATATTTAAGCTGAAATTGCTAAACTGTCCCGCTAATATGAGTCTTTAGCCAGAGGGTAAAATCAAATATTAACCATTATCTTACTGATAGACTTTATGGCGTCCTCGGAAATATTGTCGGATTACGTTAAAATGCATTGCTGAGTGGTTCTTAGGGGTCGTTCACATATAACGTAATCACTTTTTGAACAATTTCTACGTAATATGTGAACGACCCCTTATTATTCTAATATATTTGAAGTTTTAAGTCCAAAATCTCCTGCTTCATGCTTTTAGCTTGATATTATTCAGGTGAAAACCCTTACATGTGACTTTTCAATACGAATATTTAAAAGGAATACAATTTCTATAGTTCTACTTTAATCAAACACATGTCCAGGTAAAGCTGTCTTCGTTCGATTCATGGTTGCAACTCCCGCCGCGCTTTGAATACATTTTATCATATCAGATCATGTTAAGCGCGTGCAGCGAGTTTGACTAAGAGGCCTTTCTATGCACATAACTTATTCGGTGGCGCGCCTTCCGTGAAATCAGTGAATCAGTCGATCACAGATGTTCAAGACAACAATATTAGGGGAATGTCGCCCCAAGTTCTGGTGCAAAATAATACAAAAGTTAGTTCCTTGCATTAAGGCGAATAAAAACAGAAATAATTATAGATACGTTTACTGTCCGGAGAAGACCGTCCAGAGACCAGAGCAGGGCCTTGTTTACATAGAAGGCAAGTCAAATGGTACAATTCTGAGACAATGGGCCTTGGGATGACATTCTTACAATTTCCAAACAATTTTTCTGGAAACCTCGTTGTCCCTCATCCATTCGTATGTGATGGCATGTGCAACTAATAATTTTGATGACAGGCCATAATGCCTCTGCAACGAACTGGATACCACCTCTTAGCTAATATTAGATTCTTTCGAGGCCTTAGCATTTACTATATTCTTGTATGGGTTACGTGCGAAACTGCAAAATACCCCGCTATTATTATTAGCTACCACGTCACAACACTGTACAGAGCACCCCCCCTCCCCCCCCCCCCCCCCCCCCCCCCCCCCCCCGTGTAGTACAAACTGTGAGATTTATCACATCAAAACCTAGCCATCAGTTCAAATAACGAATTTTGAATGTTAAAATTTGTTTAATACTTACCAAAGAAAGGAATAGCCATCGCACAGTGTGCATCTATTACAGCAATAACACTTTTCATGGCCTTGAAGTTTCGGTAGACCTTTGGCCATCAAATCTAGAAGAAGCTGTTTAATATTAGCAACTTGAATTGTAAATTACATAAAATTCGTTTCGTACATTTTAAGAGAAACTATAATATTTTGGTAATTTCCATTTCAGGTTGACCAATGACCAAATGAATGAGACATAATAACAACCGTTTTAAATCAAAAATAGAGAATATAAGATTGATCATTAAAGCGTTAAAAACAGTCAAAGAACCGAAAATCAAAAATCCACATAATCAACAGCTAAATATCCACCGAGAAAAGCCATTTATTTTTATCGTCCCCAACTCTTTACTGCTCGTTCTCTTTGTCTTGCTGAAATAATTGTTTAGCAGTGAGTGTTATGAGTGTAATCGGAGTACAATCTGCAAGAATTTATGTCTAAATTGGAAGCTAAAGTAGACACATTTAAAAAATCCCCATATTAAAACTGACTGATCAAAAATGAAAATAACACTCAACGAACCTCGACAACCACCTCAACTTTCGCAGATGTTTCTACTTCAATTTCCACATCTTCCTTGGCTACAGATTGGCATTCCTCTGATTCGATCTTGTCTTCGTCATGGTTCTCTTTGGCATCTTCCTTATCATCTATAACTGGCAATTCAGGGGCTTCTTCTTTTTGCTCTTCCTGGTCTTCTTTTTGGTCTACTTCTTCTTTCCGGTCTTCTTCTTTCTCCTTTTCCCCGTCCTTTTCCGGTTCCGCATCTATCTCCGGTTCTTCCTCTCCCTCTGGTACGTGGTGTTTGGTTATATCGTTACACTTCCGAATATGCTTCCTGCACACCTGGTTCTCTACTTGCAGAGCACGGCACAGTCTTTCTAATGTTTCGTTCTTGTTCTTGCTATTTCGCAGCTGTGAAGAAACATTTACATATTACAAAATAAAATGTGCACACTAAACTTATTATCATGAGATCAAATTGCTTCCATCCTAATATCAACATCGAGAATCTACAATTTCAGAATATAAAATGATAAAGAAGGAGAAGAAAGAATAACGCACCTCTTCAGCCATGGTAAACATGCTCTTGCTCACTTGCTCGTGTTTACCTTTCCAGGATAGGTTTTCCTTCTCCAACTTTTTAATTGTCTTGCTCATCTTGTTCATTTCTTGTTTAAAGGTGGCAAAGACATCGTTAGACCTGATTAAATACAATTTGTAAACCTTTGGGGTGTTTGGAAATGGAGTGGATTCTCTACAAATACACAATGAATTATAACAAACATGGGGGGTGTCCAATCCCAAAAATACCCATTCCCAAATAAAAATTTGAGGTAAAGTTGGGTTTTTTTGGGTTTTTAAGAAAAAATGTTAGAATTGATTTTATTTACACCTACATTCATTTAAGACCAAGTTAAAATGTCATGTTGTCCCCCATGTTATCCTACCATCATCCTCATTGCCAATAATTATATGTGTCATTTGTATTATTTACTAGAGTTAAGGAAGTAAAACAATTCCCTTAACGTAAGTTAAAAAACCTAACAATTCTGATAGGTGTATACTGTATAATATATATTATACTACTGAGCCCCGGTAGGAAAAGACGTGTCGATATGAAAGGATTATTACCTGCCATCAGCAACATACTATAAGAAAAGTTACGTGGCTGTGTAATTAACTTATCCACCAAGATAGAAAGCATATCATGACATCAGCTGCATTTGTTTTATTGAGGGGGAGGTCGGTGAACTCTCACTTGATTAGAAACATTGAAAAGAGTGCCTAGGGGTTTTGTTTTCAATGTAGTCGAATTAGATAAAAAGTTACAAAAACAAGGGGAAAAAATTTAAAAACAAAATAAACCTCAAAATAAACATTCCCAAAATGAAGATTTGAGGTAAAATGGGTTTTTTTGGGGTTGGACACCAAACATTATTTGGTTAGTTAAGTTTCCAGGGATAGAGAAGATTCTAGATGAAACGGACCGTGTGAGAGTTTTCTGGAACTCCTCAAACTTTTCAGTGTACAGAGAGAGTTGGTTACGGAGCTCCTGCTCTTGTTCTACCAGCAGCTCGTTCTTTTTCTTCTCTTTTACATACTCCTCTAGCAACTAAGATATAATATAACTGGTTATAATAATGATTAAGGAAGCTGCAGAAAAAAGGTAAGTTGAAAATGGGTTTCATAGATGTGTACTTGGTATTTATTTCAATGCTAAAGAAAAAGATACAAATCTAATATTCTATATAATTAATTGAGCCTCAAATCTCACATTTCTTTTCTCCGTGAGATCTTTCTGCTTATCCTCAGCACCTTGCATAGCTTGTTGAGCTAACTTTGTTTCCCACAGTTGTATTTCCAGACTTTTTTGCTTCAAAATCTTCTCTATGTGCTGCCAAGAAAATTAAAACTAGTTAAACAAACAAGCAAGTAGGGATTTACTCCGAACATTACAATTTCAAATTCCAGATCCCTAACCCGGCCCAGTAACAAACCTCCTCTCTCCTAACCCGGCCCAGTAACAAACCTCCTCTCTTGTCCGATATTCCTCCTAACCCGGCCCAGTAACAAACCTCCTCTCTTGTCCGATATTCCTCCTAACCCGGCCCAGTAACAAACCTCCTCTCTTGTCCGATATTCCTCCTAACCCGGCCCAGTAACAAACCTCCTCTCTTGTCCGATATTCCTCCTAACCCGGCCCAGTAACAAACCTCCTCTCTTGTCCGATATTCCTCCTAACCCGGCCCAGTAACAAACCTCCTCTCTTGTCCGATATTCCTCCTAACCCGGCCCAGTAACAAACCTCCTCTCTTGTCCGATATTCCTCCTAACCCGGCCCAGTAACAAACCTCCTCTCTTGTCCGATATTCCTCCTAACCCGGCCCAGTAACAAACCTCCTCTCTTGTCCGATATTCCTCCTAACCCGGCCCAGTAACAAACCTCCTCTCTTGTCCGATATTCCTCCTAACCCGGCCCAGTAACAAACCTCCTCTCTTGTCCGATATTCCTCCTAACCCGGCCCAGTAACAAACCTCCTCTCTTGTCCGATATTCCTCCTAACCCGGCCCAGTAACAAACCTCCTCTCTTGTCCGATATTCCTCCTAACCCGGCCCAGTAACAAACCTCCTCTCTTGTCCGATATTCCTCCTAACCCGGCCCAGTAACAAACCTCCTCTCTTGTCCGATATTCCTCCTAACCCGGCCCAGTAACAAACCTCCTCTCTTGTCCGATATTCCTCCTAACCCGGCCCAGTAACAAACCTCCTCTCTTGTCCGATATTCCTCCTAACCCGGCCCAGTAACAAACCTCCTCTCTTGT